CTGACCTGTGCACCAAGTCTCACCTAGGATCCGCACTGCATTGGGTTGAAGGAACCCTCTCCTGCCTGAACCTCTCTTACTCCTGCAGTGCTCTCACAGGTCGGTCCCATTCGGGTTAAGTAAACATTCTTGACCTTGAATGTGCCCAGCCTGACTGCAGTTTTAGATAAGAGGCCACACACTGTCCCTCTGCCCTGGGATGGAGGGAGAGCTCCTATATAAGACTCCCGACTCCAGGAGACCCTGGGAAGCCTCAAGGTTTGGGCAGTCCTCCAGACTGCACCCAAAAATTCAAGTCTCACCTAGATCTCACTGTACTGGGTTGAAGGAAATCCTCTCCTGCCCAGAAACCCCCTTACTCCTTGGCTTTCCTCCCTCTCTCCCAAAGGCGCCTTTCTTGCACTGACAAGGAAATCTCCCAAATTTGAGAGAAACCATCTCTCCCTGGGTGGATCTTGGGTGGCCAGCTCCCGAGAAAACACTGACTTGAAGTGCATACTGTGATCTCACCTCTCCTCGGCCTGGCTCATGGGCTGGGCGACCCGTAGGGATCCATTCACCAGAGCCCCATCACGTGGAGGTGCACTCTATGCTCAGCCATAGCTCAATGCACCTTTGTGACAGTGATCTCCACAGTGTGCCTCCCTCTCACCCTCCAGAGAGCACACCTTCCCTGCCACTGGTACATGGGCAGTGGTGGGACTCTTGATGGGACATGGGTTATCCCCGTCCTGGGTCCAACAATCCCAGGCAGGCAGGTGATTAAAAACACCATCAGATGCTGGCCAGAGCTGGTCTGACTCACCCCGAGGAGTCACGTAGTTGACTCCGCACTTGTCGGCAGGCACTACTGGAGGTGGGGCATTGCTAAATAGGGTCAGTTTCCAGGATCAGGCTATGGTTAAGAGCACCTTGAAAATCTACAGCCTGCAACCTTCCCATGGCTGTGGAATCACACATACTTCCCCAAGATCAGAGCCTGTGTATGAACCTCTTGTGCCTCACTTTTACTTCATGTGCTCGCCATCCTAGGCACTGCAAATCTGAGTACCAGTCTCAGTGGACATCAGTTCTGCAAGGAGTGTGGAGGAAACTTTAATGTCTGGACTACCACACCCTGCAGGGCTTCAGGAATGTATCCTTGGGTCTGATTGCAAGCTGCCTTGAGAGAACCAATCTCAGGCATTCAGGAAGGCCCAAGGGAAACCTCAGAGCGAAAGACTGATGCTCGGAAACCCCACACAGCGCCTGGCCTAAGCGCTGTCTCAGCAGGATCCAGTTCACCTAAAGGCCGGTTAATGGGAGGTGTGGGGACTGCTGGGTCACTGAAAGACATAGGAAATGGGTTGCAAAAGACAAATAAAGTGCCCTCTGCACCCCCGGGTAATAGCAGGCACTGACAAATTAAGCCTACATAGTGAGAGCTTCCAAGCCACCACATGAGGAGCTACATGTGGCACCTTCTCACGATGCCCCTGCAGAGCCTAATGTCTCCAAAATGGTAAAATAGTGGATTTGTTGAAGAACCTATGAAATTCCTTGGAAGCATCCTCTTCCAAAATTTCACCATGCAATTCTTCAGCGTAATCCTGCATGAGCATGATTTTGCTGTCACTACCTCTCTCTTCAGATAAGCAGTGGTGGTCATAATATCATCGCAACCAGGCACTTCTCTCATCAATGGCATCCAGTGGGATCTGGATGTGCTACCATTGCTCACAATGGTGAGACGAGGGCACTGTAAAGTAGCTCCCATCTTTCAGTGCACCTGGGCCGGGCACTTGACTGACAGACAAGCCCGGGGCCATAGGGGCTAAATACCAGTTCTTCCTCAAGGTTCAATATCTGGGAAAGAGTAGGACAGGTGTCCAAACACAAATCTCATCCTCCATGGGCATGGAGGCAGAAGGGTGTGTGGCTCAGTGATGCTCTGCCTCCATGGACCTACATGATGGGTTCCATGTGCAATACGCCCATTGTAGATGCAGAGCACCTGGGTTTCTACCAGTCCTTGAAAGGACAGGGTGCAGGTGGTCACTGGGGTCGGGTGAGTTCTTGTGCCTCCCACTGCAGAGCCTCCTCTCCAAGAGCACTCCACTGCCTGCGCCGGGGCCTGCACCGAGACAGACCTCGCATCATGTGCAGGGGCCTACTGGGCGCAGACCAGTTACCAATAGTCTATCGCCAACCAAGAGGTGGCTGGCTCAGATGAGAGGACACATGCCACTGTGTTGGCGCCTACATTCCGGGCAAAGCCCTGCGCGTGGAACCCACCCGGCCGTGCCTATCATGTGCACCGCATTTTGTAGTCCTGTACATGCCTGGAGTCCAGGGCCACATGTTTCTCTGGTAATCCTTTACCAGTTCTGCCACATCTCACTGCTGAGAGCAGGGCCACACTTGGCTGCCTCCTGTGACACATGGAGACTTCCTCATTTGCACACTGCTGACTTCACCAATTGGGGTACCCCACATGCTCAGGCAGCATGGCAGCATATTCTGTGGACAAGACTTGATTGCAGTATTTTCAACCTACCAGGAGGCCACCCTTCCAGACATTTGCCCACACAGAAAGGGGTGGTGTGAATTCTGCAGTTGTGTTGAGAGAACTCATAATGCGGTGCTGACACTTTTGGTCAACTCTAACGAGTCCATGGTCAGATCAGCAACATCTTACAGGTGCCAAAGCCTGAGCTCAGCCTTTGACCCAAACCAGGAAATAGCAGGCACCGCCCCCCAGGCCTAAAAAAGGAGATGTCACGGTTGGCATATTGCCCAACATGACCCATCCCACTGGGCACAAGTCATGTGCGATCCTTGAAGACGCCTGCAGCTCAACTCCAAGGGCCCTAGGCCAACAAGCCTCCAGAGATAGAGAGCTCCGTGACCTCGGCATCCCGGGAGGGCCTGTGGACCCCCATGTGGCCTCTGCCACAGTCCCGAGGTCAGCAGCACACAAAGACTCAGCTTGAGCTGCCCTGTGTGAGACTGAAGGAATCTCTCCTGCTCAATGACTGTCATCCCCACAGGACTCCAGGTACCTTGGGCCTGATCTCTCACAGGCGTATTACTTCTGAGAGTGATCAACTCCATCCCTGGTAGGGCATTCAAGTCTTGCTCCCAAGGAAATGTCCCAGGAAGGCTGACCTCGCCACTCACGCGGCCTGACCCAGGGCCCACAACACCAGCACCCATCCACTGACCTGGCATCTTCTACCAGGTGCCCCGCCCATGCGGAAGAGCTCACTGAAAGACACAAATGGGAGAAGCAGGGCTCAGGAGAGCTGCCCTCATGCCTGCCCTCCCAGGCCTGACCACCAACAGCAAGCCTGGCCAGGAGCCGGCTGCCTCACGGAGGAGTGCAGAGACAGGGGATTAGCTCCCCCAGATGCCCCTTCAGCCCTCCAGGTCTGGTGGAATGCAAAATACAAACTTGATGGGACTTCTGTGATTCCATATCTTCTTCCAAAATTCTCACCTAGGGCTAAATTTCTGGGCAAATTCCTATTGAGCATCATTTCAAAGTTATCACCCTCTTCTGGTGGTGACAATATATATGTTCTCATCATCGACTCAACCCAGGACACCCTCCTTCCTACACAGCACCGTGATCTCGGATGTAGTCACCGCTGTGTCAGTGCAGAGACCAGGTCACCAAGCAGAAGGTCCCCAAAGCTTCAGCACACATCAGGGGCCGCACCGGCTTTTGGGATATCACCTGAGCATATTGAGCCTAACACAAGCTCCGGCCACTCTAAAAAGGTGGAGAGGCCATGTCTCAAACTGGCCTCATGCCTAAAAGGGGTGAGGTTACCACTGATGGGATCCAGAGAACGCAGACCTATCACGGAATTGGGTACCCCTTGGCAAAACCGCCACTGAAATCAAGCCTGAGTCCCAGGGCCACAGGCTTCTCGGCAAGTCCCCACACATGTCCCTTATATTGGTGTCCCCCAAAACAGAGTCAGGCCACCTTCGGTCAACCCTGGGCCATGGTGTCCCTCTCTCTTTCCTTAGGCTCAGACCCTCACACTCCCGGGAGGTGACCCCATGGCTCAACAGCCCGTGGAAATTCAGACAGCACCACATTGACAGCGGTCTTCCACCAGGATCCACTCTTCCAGCCACTCACCGATATGCAAAGGGTGACTCACAGAGGATGTGGCTGCCGACTTAAACCAAAGCCCACAAGTTCAAGGTCAGCCTAAATACTCAGGCAGGGAGAGCCTGGGCCCACCCAAAACCCAGGGGAAGCAGTACCACCTCCCACCAAGCTCAAAGATGCCAACAGATGCCCACACTAACACAGTCGCTGCACAGCTGCACATACGTCCTCGTAGCCTGACCCCATGGGCCCATTTATACCCCCAGGAGCAGAGCCCAGACCCCCTGGGGCACACCCCGAGCCCTGCGTGGCCCCCCCTGGCTCGGCCTGGCCAGACCCAAGACACAAATGCCTCAGCTGAGCTGCCTGCATTGAACTGAGGGGACTCTTTCTCGCCGCTCTGACCACTGTCACCCCCGTGGAGTAAATTGTGGAAAGCATTGTCTTAAGTCTGACTCTGCTAAAGCCAGCTCTTGCAGAAATCCATCTCTCCCCAGTGGGATCTGCTGGCTCCTGAGGAAACTCCTTCTTCCCAAGGGGCTGACCTCAGTGGCTGTCACACGCGGCCTGCCTAGCGCCTCATGCATGCCAGCAGAATGTATCACCATAAAAAAGCTAATATCACAACATTCTACCTGGCTAAAGGCACATACTGAAATATGAAGACAAGGAGAGAACGGAGGCTCAGGAAGGACCCAGCAAGGAGTTCTACCCAGGGAACAGGAGAGCCAACACTAGCTTCTCCACAGAGGGAGCCTGGGCTGCCTCAAGGAGAAATGCAGAGCAGGGGTAGAGCTCCCCAAAGATGTTCAGGCCTGGATTTCCAGTCCAAAATACAGAGCCCTGACAGGGACTCAGAAATCCCAAGCATCCTCTCTTCCAGCACCCCCACCTAAAGCACAGCGTAATCCTATTGAGCACATGATTTAAGTCATCACCCCTCTTCAGAACCACATAAGGCCTTACCAGCTGACCCAACCCAGGGCACCACCCTCCCAACTCCATGCAAGCATCCACTGGGACCCAGATGTGCTCACCATAGCTTTGTGCAGGACAGCAGGGCACCAGGAAGGGCCTGAATTTCAGCCTCGCCAGGTGCGGCTGCACCTGGCTGAGGACATTGTCCCAGGGACAGTGGGCCCATGCACTTCTTCCCCTCGAGGGTCACCATCTGAGGTGGGGGGATGCTAACCAACACGCGCCTCATCCCCTCCATGCAGAAAAGTAGCAGGGCATGCTATTTTCAGATGGTCTCCTCCTGACTCAATACATGGGATTCATGTAAAACAGTGACGGCTATAATGGCGAAATTCTGGCCCTCCCTTGCCCCTGGGAACCCTGGAAGGAAAGGGTGTAGGCGGTCATGGGCCCCAGCAAGACGCCCAGGCTGCACCTCACAGAGGACCCTGGAGCACCTCCACTGCCCACATTACCCAGCTCCCCCACATGACCTGGCCACACTTGGACCACTGGGCAAGGCTAGCCACCACAACCAGCTCATGCAAACCAAAAGAGGCTGACTGGATGCCATGCAGTTGCAGAACTGGCAGCAGGCACATAGCCTGCTCTGGGTGGAAGGCACCTGTCCAGGCACCTCTATAAGCCTACACCAGAATGCATCCTGAAGTCCCAGCCACGTGCCTTCTGGTGGGTCCTACTTCACCCACTGTGGCCTCCCAAACACAAAGCCAGCCACACTCGGCCAATCAAGTGGACACATGCTATCTTCTCCTTTCCTCTGGCTCAAGACTCCACCACCCTGTAGGTGACCCCATGGTCCTCAGAAGCAGCCTGGGCAGCAAATGGCCAGCACAGGTCCCTTGATACAGCCCTTCCACCACAGGATGCCACCCTTCCGGCCACCCACTTTGGGAGGTGACTCCAATGGGACGGTGCAGGCTGCACCTCGTGGCGCACGATTCCCAGAGCTGTCCATCAGGTGTCAGCCAGAGCTCACCCCCGACCCAACCCCAGTGAGGCCGCACCACTCCCACCAGCCTCGAAGGAGGCACTAAGTGGGATGGCTCATTGCTCAACAAGGTCTGCCCCATTCTGGGGCCCAGGGTATGGCCCACTTCTCGAGTCTTCACGCCTGACTCCATAAGCCCCATCACCACACCCAACCCCCTCGCTGCAAGCCTGGGGAGGAAGAGTCTTCATATAAGAATTCTGGCCCAGAGACCCCTTGTGGGATGCCTCCTCATATGGCTCATGGGCAGTCCTCCAGCCTGACCTGTGCACTAAGTCTCAGCTAAGATCTGCACTGCGCTTGGGGTTGAAGGAACCTCTCCTGCCTGAACTCTCTGTTACTCCTGCAGGGTTTCAGGGAAGGCATCTTTCTTGGGATTGATTTAAAGGAAGCCAAATTTCCTGAGGAGAAACTTATCTGTCCTCTCGTGGGATTTAGGCTCCCCTGAGGAAACCCCAGGCCTGAAGGGTGACCCTCAGTGGACCCCTCCCCATGAGCCTGCCTATGGGCCATGACCCCAGCAGGATCCACTTATCATGCCGCCTGGCTGGCCAGGGTCATCTCGCCTTGGCAGAAGAGTTTACTGAAAGACACAGGGGAGAATTCTGGGCCCAGGGAGAGCCACCAACCTGCCTGCCCTGGGAGCCAGAGTGCCAACACGGCCCGCATAGAGGAGCCTAAGGCCACAGAGAGCACATAGATAGGCGTTGCAATTCTAAGGTTTCCTTCAGCCTCATGACTCCAGCCCAAAATACAGTGGCCCGCTGGGACCTTTGGGATCCCAGCATCCTCTTCCAAAATTCTCACTCAGGCTGGGCCTTCAGCGAATCCTATTGAGTATGATTTTTAAGTCATCACCTCTCTTCAGACAATATAAGGTTCTCATCATTGACCCAACTAGGGCACCACCTCCCCACACATGCATCCAGCTGGACCCGATGCTCACCACAGCCTGTGGGTGCAGGAGACCAAGGCGACAGGAAAGGCTCGAGTTTCCAGCGCTCCAGGCTGGGCACCACCTGACGCACCACCTCGCCCGACATGGGCCCAATGAAAGTTTTCCTCTGGTTTCACCTTTACATAGGGACAGGGAGGTGGACCTGTGTCCAAATGGAACCCTCACGCCCTACATGGGAAGGCGGATGCCAGCTCACAACTGGGCTTCTCCCACCATGGACTCCATGTGATGGATCCATGTGAAACACTGATGTGTCATGGATGCAGGGGAACCTTGGCCCTCCCCACGACTGAACCCCTGGGGCCGACAGGCAGGTGGGCTTACTGACTCGGGCAAGATGCCCTAGCTATGCCCCCATTGCAGGCACCTTGAGCACTCCATCACCCACGCTAGCTGCCTCTCTCTTGCCAATTCCAGGCTGTGCCATTCCTGGGGTGCGGGGCCAGGCCACCTACTCCTCTCACAGCCAACCAAGGAAGGCTGCGGGCTCAGGATGCCATGAACTGCCAATCTGGCAGTGGCATAATCTGCCCTGTGTGGAGGCGAGAACCCGTGGCCCCGCTCCATACCAGGAAATCGCAGCCTGGGGCCCCAGGGCCTCGTGTGTTCTCTGGTGGGTCCCCATCCATGGCTACATACAACACCCCCACACACAGAGCGGCCAGCCAATCGGGACACCTGTGCCTCTCTCCTTACTGGACCCAAGATTCACCTCCCAGAGGAGGACCCCATGGCTCAGATGCAGCCTGACCATGGGCCCCAGGACAGGTCCTTCCACAGCAGGTCTCCCACCTCAGGAGGACAGCGCCTCTCCTGTCACTGCCCACAAGGAAGGGGGACCTCTGCAGTGACAGTGACTGTACCTTGGGCCCAAAGCCCACCAATTCCAGGGGCCAGAATGCAGCACCCTCAGGTGCCAGCTAGGCTGGGGCCTTTGAGACACAGCCTAGGAAACAGTGTGCTGCCCACACTTGGCCTGGCAAAGAGGCACCACTGCTGGGATGGCCTAGCTTAATAGGGTCAGTCCCTCAGGGCCATGGTTTGAGAGATCCTTGCAAAATCCGAAGCCCAACCCCATGGACAGAATCGCACACACCTCTCCAAGGTCAGAGGGCTCTGCAAGACCCCCTTGTCACCCCAGAGCCCTGTGGCTACTTGCATGTGGCCTGGTCATCCTAGAGGCTTGACCTGAGCCTGAGTCTTGAAGGGGCACTGGCCCACAAGGGCTGAGAAACCCTTTACTGTCTGGGACTATCGCAAAACTGCAGGGCTTCAGGGAAGGTATCTCCTTGGGTCTGGATTCCCAAGGAAGCCACCCGCCTAGAGAACCCATTCCAAGTGGGGATTCAGGACAGCTCCTGAGAAAACTCTTGTGGCTGAAGGCTGATGCTCAGCAACCCCATGCAGCCTGGCTGAGGGCCACATCCCAACAGATCCACTCACTGATGCTGTCATCGCCAGGAGTCTGCTGGGTAAGAGCTAACAAAGACACAGGGGAGAATGTGGGGGCTCAGGAAGGAGCCACCAAAGCACTTCTGCCCCCAGGTGGTGGAGGGCCACAACAAAGCTCACATAGGAGCCTGGGCTGCCTCATGGAGGAGCGCAGAGACAGGGTTGGGCACCCTCTAGATGCCCTCAGAGCCTCCAGGTCTCTAGCCCAAAATACAGTGGACCTCACAGGGAACTCGTAATTCCCAGCATCCTCTTCCAAAATTCTCACCCAGGCTGGGCCTCAGCGTAATCCTATTGAGCATGATTTTTAAGTCATCACCTCTCTTCAGACAATATAAGGTTCTCATCATCGACCCAACCCAGGGCACCCCCTCCCCACACACGCATCCAGTGGGACCCTAATGTGCTCACCAAGTTCAATGCAGGAGACCAGGGCCCAGGAGGGCGCAAGCTTCAGCTCACCAGGGGCTGGGCATCTCGCTGATGGCCACTGGCCTGGGGCTAGCAGGCGCAATGCAAGTCTTCCTCTCTGGTCACCATCTGGAGGGACAGGGGACAGGTATCCAAACGGGGCCTCACGCCTCCATGCAGGAAAGCAGGGAGTGGGGGCTGGCTCACACATGCTCTCCCTCCATGGACCCATGTGATGGCATCTATATGAGATAATGATGGTCATGGACCCGGGGAACGCTTGGTCCTCTCCGCTACTGAACCCTTGAAGGACAAGGTAGGCAGGTCACTGGGCTTGGGTAAGATGCCCAGGCTGTGCCGTACAGCAGGCCCCTGGAGCACTTTCACCGCTCACAGTGGCTCCACTGCATGACTCTAGACCACAACAGAAACCCAGGGCAGGGTCCAAGGCTGCCAACCAGCTCACAGTCAACCAAGGAGGCTGGTCCGGAAGCCAGGTGCTGCTGCCAACCTGGCAGTCCCACAGCCTGCCCCTGTGCGCAGAGAATGGCTGCCCAGGATCCCTCTCCAAGCACACACCAGAAATCGCAGCCTGGGTCCAGGGCCATGTGCTTTGTCTGCTGGGTCCTCATCCACACCCCAGACACCTGCCAAACACGGAGCTGGGCCACACTCAGCCAATCAGGAGCCACATGGTACCCCCTCCTTTCCTTAGACCCAAGACCCCGCCACCCTGGAAGTGACCCCATGGCTCAGAAGCAGCCTGGGCCACAAATTCCCGGGACAGGTCCCTCATGAGGGTGCCTTCCAACCTCGGGATGCGACCCTTCCAGTCACTCACCTCAAAGAAGGGGTGACTCCCAGCAGCAGGTGGGCTGCACCCTTGACCCAAAGCCCATGAGTCCCAGGGCCGGCCTGCAGCACCACAAAGCACCAGCCACAGCTCAGCCTTGACCCAACCAGTTGAAGCTGAACCACCACCCACCAGGCTCAAGAAGGAGCTACTGGTGTGTCCCATTGCTCAACAGGGTCATTCGCATACAGGGCCATGAGTGGGGCACGATCCTTGAATCTCCGCAGCCCCACCCCATGGGCCCGATCGCCCACCCATTTCCAGGGACGGCGAGCCCCCAAGTGATCCCTGTGGCACCCCAGAGCCTCTGCTGTCCCGCTCATTTGTCCTGGGCAGTCATCGAGGACAGACTCGCAAACCGAGTGTCAGCTTGGAGCTGCCCTGCATGAGACTGAAGGAACCCTTTCCAGACTGGACCACCGTCACCCCTGCAGGGCTTCAGGGAAGGCATCGTATTGGGTCTGATTCCCCAGGAAGCTGATTTCCTAGAGGACAAACCCATCTATCCACAGGTGGGGATTAAGGTCAACTCCCTGAGGAAACCCTCCTGCCTTAAGGCTAATACTTGGTGACCCCATGCAGCCTGGCGCATGGCCCACGACCCCAGCAGGATCCACTCACCTATGCTGGTCAATGCCAGGGTGCCCGCCTGGGTGGAAGAGCTCACTAAAAGACACAGGGGAGAATGGTGGTCAGGGAGGAGCCGCCCACGTGCCTTGCTCCTGGGGAACAGGAGGGCTATCACACAGGGAGCCAGGACTGCCTCACGGAGGAGAACAGAGACAGGGTTGGGCCCTCCAGATGCCCTTCAGGGCTTCCAGGTCTCCAGCCCAAAATACAATGGCTCTGCCAGTGTCCTCTTCCAAAACCCTCACCTAGGCTGGGCCTCAGCGTAATCCTATTGAGCATGATTTTTAAGTCATCACCTCTCTTCAGGACAATATAAGGTTCTCATCATCGACCCAACTCAGGGCACCACCTCCCAGTGCATGCATCCAGCAGGACCCGGATGTGCTCACCACAGCTCAGTGCAGGACACCAGGGTGCCAGGAAGTATTCAATGTTCAGTGCACCAGGGGCTGGACACCTAGCTGATGGACACTGGCCTGGGGCCACTGGGCCCAATTCAAGTCTTCCTCCAGCCTCAACATCTGGGGAAACAGGAGTAGGACAGGCATCCAAACACAACCTCATGCCTCCATGGAGGCAGAAGGTGGGGTGTGGCGGCTCAGGGATACTTGCCTTCCATGGACCCATGTGATGGGATCCATGCAGACCACTGGCTCGTCTCGGACACAGGGCACCCAATGCTCTCTCAACACTGAACCCTGGAAGGACAGGGCAGGCGGGTCACTGGGCTTGGGCAAGAAGACCCGGTTGTGTCCTACTACAGGTCCCATGAGCACCTCCACTGCCCATGCCAGCTCCCCTGCACGACCCCAGGATCACGCCAGAACTACTGGGCACAGACCAGGGCCATCAACCAGCTCACAGCCAACCAAAGAGGCTGGCCCGGATACCAGGTGTCACTGCAAAGCTGGCAGTCACATAGCCTGCCCCTGTGCATTGTGGGCACACACCCAGGTGCCCTATCCCAGCATGAAATGGAAATCGCAACCTGGGGTCCCAGGGCCACATGCTTTCTCTGGTGGGTGCTCATCCATGCCCCACGCACCTCCTAAACACAGAGCAGGGCCACACTCGGCTAATTGGGGGACACATGGTGACTTCTCCTTTCCTTAGGTCCATGACCCGCTAACCTGGAGGTGACCCCGTGGCTCAGAAGCAGCATGGGCAGCATATTCCAGGGGTAAGACCCTTGACAGCAGGCCTTCCACCTCAGGAGGCCACCCTTCCTGACTCTTGCCAACAGGGAAGGGGTGATTTCCAGCCACAGGGAAGGGGAGATTCCTAGCAGGACGTGGACTGACCCCTTGGCCTAAAGCTGACGAGTCCATGGCTGGACTGTAGCACCACCAGGCACTGGCGAGAGCTCAGCCTTGACCCAAACCTAGGGAAATAGCACTGCCCCAACCAGGCCCAAACAGGTACCATGGGATGGCCCATAGATCAACAGGGTCGGTCCCATTCAGGGCAATAAGTCCTGTGCGATCCTTAAATCTCTGCAGCTCAACTCCATGGGCCCTATGCCCACCTTTCTCCAGGGATGGGGAGCTCTTGTATGACCCCATTGTGTCCCGAAGCCCCTGTGGCCTCCCTCATGTGGCCTGGTCAGTCCTCAAGGCCAGACGAGTACACCGAGACTCAGCTGGGAGCTGCCCCGCTTGAGACTGAAGGAACCCTTTCCTGCCTGGACCACCGTCATCCCCGCAGGGCTGCAGGGAAGGCATCCTCCTTGGGTCCGATTCCCAAAAAAATCAGCCCTCTTGGAGGACCAATCCACCCCTCCCTGGTGTGGAATCGGGTCGGTTGCCTGTGGAAACCCTCCTGTCTCAAAGGCTGACCCTTGGTGACCCCACATTGCCTGACTGATGACCCATGACCCCAGCAGGACCACTCACCTATGCTGGTCAGTGCCTGGGGGCTGCACCTGGGTAGAAGAGCTCACTGAAAGACACAAGGGACAATGGGGGTTGTCAGAACTGGAGCACCGACACCAAGCCCACACAGGGAGCCTGGGCTGCCTCACAGAGGAGCACAGAGAAGGGGTCGGATCCCCATGAGATTCCATTCAGGACCTCAAGGTCTCTAGCCCAAAATATACTGGCCATTCCGGGGAACTCCGGATCCCAGCATCTTCTTCCAAAATTCTCACCTAGGCTGGGCCTCAGCGTAATCCTATTGAGCATGATTTTTAAGTCATCACCTCTCTTCAGGACAATATAAGGTTCTCATCATCGACCTAACCCAGGGCACCGCCCCCCAACCGCCCGCCACCCATGCATTCAGTGGGGCACAGATGGGCTCACCGCAGCTCAGTGCAGCAGACCAGGGTGCCAGGAAGGGCCTGAGCTTCAGCTCACCAGGGGCTGAGCAGCTGGCTGAGAGACACTGGGCCAGAGCCAGCAGGCCCAATGTAAGTCTTCCTCTGGGGTCACCATCTGGAGGGGTGGGGGACAGGTGTCCAAACAGAGCCTCATGTCTCCATGCAGGAAAGTGGGCAGGGTGGGGCTGGCTCACACATGCTCTTCCTCCATGGACTCATGAGATGAGATTCATGTAAAACCATGATGGTCACGAACGCAAGGAACCCTTGGCCACTGAACCTTGGAATGACAGGGCAGGCAGATCACAGGGTTGGAGCAAAACACCCAGGCTGCACCCTACTGCAGGACCCTGGAGAACATCCACTGCCCATGCAAAATCCCCTGCTCGACTCTGGGCTGCACCAGGACCACTGGGCAGGCCCACGGCCACCAACCAGCTCACAACAAACCAAGGAGGCTGGCCTGGATGCCACGTGCCACTGCAGACCTGGTAGTTACATGGCCTGCCCCTGGGCATGAAATGAACCCATCCAGGCACCCTCTATAAGCTCACATTAGAAATTGCATCCCAACGCCCCAGGGCCACGTGCCTTCTCTGGTGGGTCCCCATTCACGCACCGGACAACTCCCAAACACAGAGCTGGGCCACACTCGGCCAATCAGAGGCCATGTGATGTCCTCTCCTTTCCTTCGGCTCAAGACCCCGCCACCCTGGAGGTGACTCCATGGCTCAGAAGTAGCCTGGGCATCAAATTGCCGGAACAGGACCCTTAACAGTGGGCCTTCCACCACAGGATGCCACCCTTCCAGCTACTCCACTTCAGGTAGCGGTGACCTCCAATGGGACTCAGGCTGCACCCTTGGCCCAAAGCCCACGATTCCCAGGGCCAACCATGAGGTGCTGGCCAGAGCTCAGTCTTGACCCAAACCCACTGAGGCCACACCGCCCCACCATGCTCAAGGAGGCACCACTGGGATGGCCCATTGCTCCACAGGTCAGTCCCATCAGGGCCATGGGTTGGGCCCAGTCCTTGAATCTTCACGGCCTGACTCCATAAGCTCAATCACCCACACCCTACCCCACTGCAAGCCTCAGGGACAGAGAGCTCCTGTATAACACCTGTGGCCCCCGGAGACACAGTGGACCCCATCATGTGGCCTTGGAAGTGCTCCAGGCCTGAGCCGTGCCCCAAGTCTCAGGAGCTGCACTGCATTGGGTTGAAGGAACCCTCTCCTGCCTGGACCTCCGTTACCCCTGCAGGGTTTCAGGGAAGGCGTCCTTCTGGGATCAGTTTCCAAGGAAGCTGCCCTCCTGGAGAAACCAGCCATCCCTGGTGGGGATTCAGGTCAGGTCCCTCGTGGCCTGAAGGGTGACCCTCAGCCATCCCCCGTGGCCTGGCTCATGGCCCGTGACCCCAGCAAGATCCACTCACCTATGCTGCTCAAGGCCAGGGGCTCACCTGGGCAGAAGAGCTCACTGAAAGACAGAGGAGAACAGGGGCTCAGGAAGGAGCCTCCAATGTGCCCTGCCCCCAGGGAACCAGAGTGCCAACACCAAGTCTGCACAAGAAGCCCGGGCTGCCACACAGAGGAGAGTAGACAGGGTTGGGCATCCCGGAGGTGTCCTTTGGGGCCTCAAAGACTCCAGCCCAAAATACAGTGGCCCTGCCAGGGGACCTTGGGATCCCAGCATCCTCTTCCAAAATTCTCACCTACGCTGGGCCTCAGCGTAATCCTATTGAGCATGATTTTTAAGTCATCACCTCTCTTCAGGACAATATAAGGTTCTCATCATTGACCCAACTCAGGGCACCCCCCTCCCCACGCATGCATCCAGCGGGACCCGGATGTGCTCACCACAGCTCAGTGCAGGAGACCAGGGCACCAGGAAAGGCCTGAGCTTCAGCGCACCAGGGGCTAGGGACCTGACTGATGACTACTCGCCACGGGACAGCGGGCCCAATGAAAGTTTTCCTCTGGTCTCACCATCTGGGGGACAGGATGTGTACATGTGTCCAAATGGAACCTCACGCCTCCACACGGGAAGGGGGTGGGGGGTGCCAGCTCATGATTGCTCTCCCACCACGGACCCATGTGATGGGATCCATGTGAAACACTGACATGTCATGGACGTGGGGGAACCTTGGCCCTCCCCACCACCGAACCCTGGAAGGACAGGGTAGGCAGGTCACTGGGCTCAGGCAAGACACCCTGGCTATCTGCAGGCACCTTGAGAACTCTACTGCCCACTCCAGTTGCCTCGCATGACCCCAGGGCTGTACTGGCCCCTGGGTGCGGGCCAGGGCCACCTACCATCTCACAGTCAACCAAGGAGGCTGACCTGGATGCCATGCACCTCTGCCCATCTGGCAGTGGCATAGTCTGCCCCTGTGTGTGGAGGGCGAGCACCCAGGCCCCACTCCATACCACACCAGAAATTGCAGCCTGGGGACCCAGGGCCTCGTGTGTTCTCTGATACATCCCCATCCATGCCTCACACAACACCTCCCATACACAGAGCGGGGCCACACTCAGCCAATCGGGGAATGCATGGTGTCTTCTTCACCTTTCCTTGACCCCACCACCCTGTAGGTGGCCCTGTAGCTCAGAGGCAGCCTGGACAGGTCCTTCCACAGCAGGCCTTCCCACCTCAGGAGGACACCCTTCCCGCTACTCACCCACAAAGAAGGTATGACCCCCAGTGGGACATGGGCTATATGCTTGGCCCAAAGCCCACGAGTCCCAGGGCCAGACTGCAGTACCATCATAGGGTCACTGGAGCTAGTCTTGACCCATCCTCATGGAAACAGCACCACTCCACACTTGGCTCAAAGAGGCACCACTGGGATGGCCCATAGCTTAATAGGGTCACTCCCATTCAGGGCCATGGGTTTAGAGAGATCCTTGAAAATCCGAAGCCTGACCCCATGGGCCAAATCACACACACACACCTCTCCAAGGTCAGACAGCCCCTGCAAGACCCCCTTGGTACCCCAGAGCCCTTGTGGTCCCCCTCACGTGGCCTGGCCATCCTACAGGCCTGACGTAAGCACCGAGTCTCAGCCGGCTGCTGCCCTGCATGGGGTTGAGGAAACCCTTTACTGCCTGGACCATCGCAACCCCTGGAGGGCTTCAGGGAAGGTAACCTCCTTGGGTCCAATTCCTAAGAAAGCTGCCTTCCTGGAGAACCCATCCCAGGTGGGGATTCACTTCAGCTCCTGAAGAAACCCTTGTGGCCAAAGGATGACCCTTGGAGACCCCACATAGCCTGGCTCATGGGCCATGACCCCAGCAGGATCTACTCACCTATGCTGGTCAATGCCAGGGGGTCTGCTGGGCACAAGAGCTCACTGAAAGACACAGGGGAGAATGGGGGCTCAGGAGGAGCCGCCAAAGTGCCCCACCCCTGGGTAACAGGAGCGCTGACACCAAGCCCACATAGTGAGCCTGGGCTGCCTCACAGAGGAGTGCAGAGACAGGGTTGGGCACCCTCCAGATGCCCTCAGAGCCTCCAGGTCTGCAGCCCAAAATACAGTGGACCTCACAGGGAACTCATGTTTCCCAGCATCCTCTTCCAAAAATCTCCCCTAGGCTGGGCCTCAGCGTAATCCTATTGAGCATGATTTTTATGTCATCACCTCTCTTCAGACAATATAAGGTTCTCATCATCGACCCAACCCAGGGCACCCGCCTACCCACACACGTATCCAGCAGGACCGAGATGTGCTCACCAAGCTCAATGCAGGAGACCAGGGCCCAGGAGGGCCTGAGCTTCAGCGCAACAGGGGTTGGGCAACTGGCTCATGGCCACTGGCCTGGGGCCAGCGGGCACAATGCAAGTCTTCCTCTGGGGTCACCATCTGGAGGGACAGGGGATAGGTGTCCAAACAGGGCTTCACGCCTCTGTTTGGGAAAGGGAGGAAGGTGTGCTGGCTCACACATGCTCTCCCTCCATGGACCCATGTGATGGGATCTATATGAAATAACGACAATCATGGACCCAGGGAACCCTTGGCCCTCCCCGCCACGAAACCCTCAAAGGACAGGGCAGGCGAGTCACTGGATTCAGGCAAGAAGCCCAGGCTGTGCCATACAGCAGCCCCTGTGGCACCTCCACTGCCCATGCTGGCTCCACAACACGACTCTGGACCACAACAAAACCCCTGGGCAGGGTCCAAGGTCATCAACCAGCTTACGGCCAACTAAGGAGGCTGGCCTGGATGCCAGGCACCGCTGTCGACCTAGCAGTCCCACAGCCTGCCCCTGTACAGGGAGGACACCAGCTCAGGCTCCCTCTCCAAGCACGCACCAGCAATCGCAGCCTGGGGTCAAGCACCATGTGCTTTCTCTGGTGGGTCCTCACACACACCCCAGACCCCTGTCAAACACAGAGCTGGGCCACACTTGGCCAATCAGGAGCTACATGGTGCCCTCTCCTTTCTTTGGGCCCAAGACCCCACCATCCTGGAGGTGACCCCATGACTCAGGAGCAGCCTGGGCCACAAATTCCCAGGACAGGTCCCTCATGAGGGGGCTTTCCAATCTGGGGACGTGACCCTTCCCACCACTGACCTCGAATAAGGGGTGACCCCCAGCAGCAGGCGGGCTGCATCCTTGACCCAAAGCCCATGAGTCCCAGGGTCGGCCTACAGCACGACAAAGCATGAGCCATGGCTCAGCCTTGACCCAACCAGTTGAAGCCGAGTCGCCAACCACCAGGCTTATGGAGGCGCCACTGGGGTGGCCCATTGCTCAACAGGGTCATTCGCACTTAGTGCCATGAGTGGGCATGATCCTTGAATCTCCACAACCTGACCCCATGGGCCTGATTGCCCACCCCTCTTTGGGAAGGGAGAGTCCCCGTGTAATCCCTGTCCCACCCCAGAACCTCTGCTGTCCCGCTCATTTGTCTTGGGCAGTGTTCGAGGAAAGACTCATACACCAAGTGTCAGCTGGGAGCTGCCCTGCATGAGACTGAGGAACCCTTTTCAAGACTGGACCACTGTCACCCCTGCAGGGCTTCAGGGAAGGCATCGTCTTGGGTCTGATTCCCCAGGAAGCCACCCTCCTGGAGGACAAACCCATCTCTCCACAGTGGAAATTCAGGTCGACTCCCTGGACCTACACACCAAGTCTCAACTGGGCAAATGTCCTGCATGGGACTGAAGGAACCCTTTGCTATCTGGACCATCACCACCCTTGCAGGGCTTCAGGAAGGCATCCTTGGTAAGATTCCCAGGAAGCTGCCTTCCTGAGAAACCATGCCTCCTGGTGGGAATTAGGTCAGCTCCTGAGGAAACCCTCATGGCCCAAAGTCTGACCCTTAGCAACCCCAAGCAGCCTGGCTCATGGACCATGACACCAGCAGGACCCACTCACCTATGTTGATCAATGCCAGGAGGCCACCCCTTGGCAGAAGAATTCACTGAAAGACACAAGGGCAGAAGAACCAGGGCTCAGGGAGGAGCCACCATGCCATGTCCCTGGGGAACAGAAGGGCCAACACTGGCCTGCACAGGGAGCCTGGGCCAAGCCCCCACAGAGGAGTGCAGAGACAGAGTTGGACTCCTTCCAGATACCCTTCAAGGCCTCCAGGCTCCAGCCCAAAATACAGTGGCTCCCAAGCGGAAATCTCGGGATCCCAGCATCCCTTCCCCCAAATTTCACCAGGGTTGGCTCACAATCATTACATGGTAATTTTAAGTCATCACCTCTCTTCAACACGATATAGGGTTCTCATCATTGACCCAACCCAGGCACCCCTTCCTCACACATGCATCCAGTAGGACCCAGATGCTCACCACAGGTCAGTGCAGGAGACCAGGCACCAGGAAGGCCTGAGCTTCAGCGGTAACCGGGCTGAGCACCTGGCTGATGGACGCTTGTCAGGTCCACGTCCTGACGCATGTCTTCAGGTCACCATCTGGATGGACAGGAGGAGGACATGTGTCTGAACAGGGCCTCACACCTCCAGGTGGGGAATTGCAAGGGATACCCATGCGATGGGATCCATGTGGAAACACTGACCTGTCACAGATACAGGGCACCCTCGGCCCTTCCCATCATCAAACCCTGAAAAAACAGGGCAGGTGGATCACTGGGCTTGGGCAAGATCTCTGGTCTTCATGCTATTGCAGACCTTGAGGGCACCTCCAGTGCACCCTCTGGCTTCTCCTTGCACCAGCCAAGTCTACTCTGTGACCACTGAGCATGGGACAAGGTCACCGAGACATGCTCACGGCCAACCGAGGAGGCTGGGCTCAGAAGCCATCTGCTGCTGTGGGCATGGAAGTTGCACAGCCTGCCCTGGGCGTGGTGGGCACCTGCCCAGGTGCTCTCTCCAAGTCACACCTGAAATCGCAGCCTGGAGTCCCAGGGCCATGTGCTTTCTCTGGTGGGTCCCCATCAATGCCCTACATGTCCCAAACACAGAGCTAAGCCACCCTTGGCCAATCTCTGGGCCATGGTGTCCTTTCCTTTCCTTAGGCCCAAGACCCTGCCTCTCTGGACATGACCCCATGGCACAGAAAAAGCCTGGGCAGCAAAGTCCTGGGACAGGACCATCAACAGTGGGCCTTCCCACCACATTCCACTCTTTCCAGCCACTCACTCATGGGGGAAGGGGTATTCCTCCAGCAGGACACAGGCTGGCCGACTTGGCCTAAAGCCCATGAGTCCCAGGTCTGGCCCACAGCCCCACCAGGCACTGGCCAGAGCTCAGCCCTGACCCAAAGCCAGGGAAATAGCACTGCCCTCCAAGCCTGCCAAAGAGGTGCCATGGGATGGTCCATAGCTCAACAGTCCCATTTTGAGCCATGGTTGGGGTGCAATCCTTGAATTTCCATGGCCCAACCCCATGGGCTCATTCAAGCACACCTGTCCAGGGAAAGAGAGCTCTTGCATGGCCCCTGTGGGAGCCCCTGGAGGCCCTGTGGCTCCATCATGTGGCCTGGGCAGTCCGGAGGCCAACACATGCACCGAGTCTTAGCTAAGAGCCTCTGGCACGGGGATGGAAGGACCTGCCTGACCACTGCCATCCCTGCAGGGCTTCAGGAAAGCAACGTCTTGGGTACAATTCTATGAAGCCGCCCTCCTGGAGAAACTGTCCCTCCCAGTGGAAATACAGGTTGGCTCCCCTGAGGAAACCTCTCCTGTCCTAAAGACTGACCTCAGTGACCCCATGTGGCCTGACCCATGGCCCATGACGGCAGCAGGATGCACTCACCTATGCTAGTCAAGGCCAAGGGCCCCTTCTGAGCTAAAGAGTCTTTACTGAAAGACACAAGGTGAGAATGAGGACCAGGAACAGCCACACAATGTGCTCCTGCCCTCAGGAAACCGGCACTGACACCAAGTCCACACCGGGAGCCTGCTGTGCTTCATGGAGGAGTGCAGAGACAGGGCTGGGTCTCATGAGAGGCCCTTGAGGGCCCCAGGTCCCAGCCCAAAATAGCAGTGACCCTTGTCAGGACCCCGTGATTCCCAGTGTCCACTTCCAAATTGTCACCTAGGGCTACCAGCGTAATCCTATTGAGCATGATTTTTAAGTCATCACCTCTCTTCAGGACAATATAAGGTTCTCATCATTAGACTCAACCCAATGCACCCCGCCCTATGCATACATCCAGAAGAACCTGGATGGGCTCACCAGCTCCATGAAGGAGACCAGGGCACCAGGAAGGGCCCAAGCTTCAGTGCAACAGGACCTGGGCACCTAGCTGATAGCCTCTGGCCCAGGCACAGCAGGCCGAATGCAAGTCTTCCTCCGGGCTCAGCCTCATCTGGGAGACAACAGGAGGGCCCATGTGATGGGATTCAGTCACTGGACTCTGTCATATATATGTACTTTGCCTCCCTGCTACCTAACTCCTGGAAGGACAGGCAGGGAGGTCACTGGGCTCAGTAAGACGCCTGGGCTGTGCCCACGCACGCCTCAAGATAACCTCCACTGCCACTGCCTACACACTGGCTGCTCCACATGACCTCAGGCTGCACAGAGACCACTGGACACGGGATACGGCTACCAACCAGCTCACGGTGGCCAACAAAAGGAGGCTGGTCCTGACACCAGGCACTGCTGCAGACCTGGCAGTTGCACAGCCTGCCCTTGGCATGGTGGGCGCCCCACCAGGTGCCCTCCAAGTGTGCATTGAACAGCAGCCTGGGGCCCCCACAGGCCCATGCTTTGGTGGGTCCTCCCATCCATGCCTTACACACCTCCCAAACTCAGAAGCCAGCCATACTCGACCAATCGGGGCTACATGGTATATTCTCTGCTCCTTGGGCCCAAGACCCCACCACCTGGGGGTGACACCATGGCTTGTGAAGCAGCCTGGGCAGCAAACTCCTGGGACAGGTACCTCCACAGCAGGCCTTCCCACCTAAGGAGGCTACGATCCCGACACTGAACTCAGGAAAGATGTGACCCCAGCAGAACTCGAGCTGCTGACCTGGCCCAAAGCCCAATAAGTCCCTGGGCCAGCCTGCAGTACCATCAGCTGCCGGGCTACAGTGAGCTCAACTCTTGACCCACCCCCACTGAAACAGTGACACACCTCACCAGGCTCAGTGCTGAGCCACTGGGATGGTTTCCGGTTGCTCAACAGCACTCAGCCCATTCAGGGCTATGGGTGGGCGCGGATGCTTGAAACACTGTGGCCTGACGCTGTGGGCCTGCTCACTCAGTCACCACCCCCACCACAAGCCTGAAGACTGAGAGCTCCTGCATGACCCCTGTGGTGCCTCACAGCCTGTGTGGCACCCCGCATGTGGCCTGGGCAGTTCTCGAGGCCTGACCCATGCACAGAATCTCATCTGGGAGCTGTCTGCCCGCAGAGCTGTAAAACCCTTTGGGGCTTGAAACATCATCACTTCTGCAGGTTTTCAGAGAAAATGTCCTCCATGGGTCTGATTAGAAAGAAAGTGGCCTCTGGGAGAACTCCATCCTCCCCAGTGGGGACTCCCCACTCCCTGAGGAAACCCTCCTGTCCTGAAGGCTGACCTATGTCCTCCTCATGCAGCCTGGCTCATGGCCTATGACACCAGCAGGTTCCACTCGCCTATGCTGGTCAACGCCAGGGGGCCACCTGGGCAGAAGATGTCACTGAAAGACACAAGGGAGAAGGGGGATCAGGAGGAGCCGCCAACCTGCCCTGCCCTGGGGGAATGGGACTCTGACACCAAACTCCGTGAGCCTGGGCTGCCTCATGGAGGAGGTGGCAGAGACAGGGCTGGGGCTGCCACATGCCCTTCAGGACCTTGAGGTCTCCAACCCAAAATACAGTGGCCCTGCCAGGGACCTCAGGATCCTGTGCAACTCTTCCAAAATTCCCCAGGTTGGGCCTCAGCGTAATCCCATGAGCATGATTTTTAAGTCATCACCTCTCTTCAGACAATATAAGGTTCTCATCATCGACCCAACCGAGGGCACCCCCCTCCCGTGCATGCATCCAGTGGGACCCAGACAGGCTCACCACAGGCTCAGGGCAGAGACTAGGGCTCCAGGAAGGGCCTGAGCTCTGCCAGCAGCCATCAGAGCTGGGCACCTGGCTGACAGACACTGGCCTGGGTCCATTGGGCCCAATGCAAGTCTTCCCTCTGAGCTCAATTATCTAGACAGGGGAGGACACGTGTCCAGATAGGGCCTCATGCCTCCAAGTGGGGAAGGTGGGTAGGGGATATCCATGACAGGATCTGCAGGGCACTGGATGCATCACAAAGACGGACACAGACCACCCCTTGGCCCTCCCTACACTCAACTCCCGGAAGGACAAGGTGTAGGGTCACTGGTCTCATGCAAAGCCCAGGCTGCACCCTACTGCAGGTCCTGGAGGAGCACCTCCACTGACCTGCTGGCTGCCCTGCATTAATGCCAGGTCTGCCCTGAGACTACTGGGCACAGGCCAGGGCCACCAACCAGCACATGGCCAACCAGGAGGCTGGCCTGATGCCACACACACTGCTGCAGACTTGGCAGTCGAGAGCCTGCCTCGCCCCTTCCAAGCACTGGAAATCACAGCCTGGGCTCCAGGGCTATGTACTTTCTCTGATGGGTCCCCATCCATGCCCTGCACACCTCCCAAACACAGAGTCGGGCCACACTCAACCAATCCAGGGACACATGGTGTGCTCCCTTTCCTGGGCCTGAGGCTGCCACCCTGGAGGTGACCCCATGGCTCTGAAGCAGCCTGGGTGGCAAATTCCCAGGACAGGTTGCTCAACAGTGGGACTTCCCACCTTAGGAAGGCACCACTCCCGCCATTCAATCTCTGGGAAGGGGTGACCTCAAGCATGACCTGCTGTCCCCATGGTCCAAAGCCCATGAGTTCCAGGGCCAGCCTGCAGCACCAATGGGCCAGAGCTCAGCCTGACCTAGCCCCAGGAAACAGCACCACCCACCACCAGACTCAAGGAGGGCGCCATTGGGATGGTCCATTGCTCAACAGGCTGCCCTATTCAGGGTCATGGGTGTCCTTGAACTGCATGGCATGATTCTCATGGACCCGATTGCCTACCCCTCTCCCCAGAACCCCCGTAGTGCCCCAGAGCCTCTGTAGCCACCTCATGTGTCCTGGGCAGTCCTTGAGGCCTGACTGATGCACCGAGTCTCAGATGGGAGTTGTCCCATGGGGCTGAATGAACTCTTCCTGCCTGACCACCATCACCCTGCCAGCTTCAGGATAGGCATCCTTCTTGGTACGATTCCCAAGGAAGTGGGCCCTTCTGGAGAACTCATCCTCAGTGGGAATTCAGGTCCACCTTTAGGAAATTCCCGTGACCCAAGGCAGATGCAGCGAGACCCCACTCTGCCTCGCCTTCATGACCCATGACCCAAGCAGGATCCACTCACCTATGCCAGTCACTCAGGGGCCTGCCTGGGCAGAAGAGCTCACTGAAAGACACAGGGGAGAACGGGGGCTCAGGAAGGAGCCACCCACATGCCCCGTCCAGGAACCAGAGCACTAACACTACAAGCCCACACAGGGAGCCAGGCTGCCTCATGGAGGAGCGCAGAGACAGGGCTGGGATCCTCAAGATGCCCTTCTGTGGGCCTTGAGGTCTCTAGTCCAAAATACGGTAGCCCTGCCTGTGACCTTGGATCCCCACATCCTCTTCTAAAAATTCTCACCTATGCTGGGCCCCGGGCGCAATCCCAATGGCTGCGACTTTTGTCACCCATTTCAGGGATAATATAAGGTTTTGAGAGGACGACTGTCACTTTTTCGGATTGGTGGGGACTTGATAGGTTTTACCACAGCTCAGTGCAGGAGACCAGGGCACCAGGAAGGTCCTGAGCTTTAGCACACCAGGAGCTGGGATCTGGTTGACGGAGGCTGGCTCAGGTAGAGCCAGGGGGTCTTCCTCTGGGCCTACCATCTGGGTGAGATAGGTGGAGGGTGGGTCCATGGTGGCTCACCCTGCCACGCGGGGAAAAGAGCGGGCAGTGCTGGCTCACACATGCTCTCCTTCCATGTACCCATGTGATGGAATCCATGCGGAACACTGACCCACCTCCACTGACCAGTAGAAGGGAGGACATGGGGCCTTCCTGCTACTGAACCCTGAAGACAGGGCAGGAGGTTCACTGAACTCAAGCAAGAACACCTGGGCTGTGCCCTACTGCAGGCCCTAAGAGCACCTCCACTGCCCATGCCGGCTCCCTGAACAACCCCAGGGCTGCACCAGGACCCCTCGGCACAGGCCAGGGCTATCAACCAGCTCATAAGCAATCGGGCGAAGCTAGCCCGATGCCACGAACTGCTGCAGACCTGGCAGTCAAGAAGGCCTGCACTGGGGCATGGAGAGTGCCCTCAGACACCCTCTATAAGCCGCAAAATTGCTTCCCGGGGCCTCAGGCCATGTGCCTTCTCTGGTGGGTCCCTATGCATGCACCACATACCCCAAACATTCTCCCCACTCGGCCATTCAGGGACACATGATGTCCTCTCTTTCCTTTGGGCTCAAGATCTCGGCCTCCTGGAGGTAAACTCCATGGCTCAGAAGCAACCTGGACAGCAATTTGCTGGGTCAGGACCCTCAACAGTGGGCCTTCCACCACAGGATGCCTGCCACTCTTCCGGCCACTCCACCTCTGGGTAGGATGGCCTCCAGCAGCAGGCAGGCTGCACCCTTGGCCCAAAGCCCACAATTCCCAGGGCCAACCACCAGGTGCAGGCCAGAGCTCAGCCTTGACCCAACCCCATTGAAGCCACACTGCCCACAATTGTGACTTAAGGAAGCACCACTAGGATAACCCATTGCTCAACAGGGTTGGTCCCATCAGGGCCATGGGTGGGGCCTGACCCTGAATTCACAGTCTTTGACTCCATAAACTCGATCACCCACACCGTGCCACCGTCCCACCGCCCCCAGCAAGCCTCAAGGATGGAGAGTTCCTGCTTAACACGTGTGGCCTCCGGAGATCCTATGGATTCCCTCATGTTGCCTGGGAGTCCTCAAGCCCTGACCCGTGCACTGAGTCTCAGCTAGGAGCTGCACTGCGTTGGTTTGAAGGAACCCTTTCCTGCCTGGACCACTGTCACCCCTGCACGGCTTCAGGAAGGAGTCCCTTCTGGGACCAGTTTCAATGGAAGA